TACGTCTGCTACGTTTTTTTTTAAACGTGGGGAAGGAGTGGCGTCGACGCACGTCACTCGCACGTCACTCGCACGGTTGGTGCAAGGTGTAAGAGTGTGGTCTGCACGCCATGTCTGGCCGTGAGCGGTTGCGTGCATCGTACGTTGCGCAAGTGGTAAGTGAGTTGTACGTGCTTACAACGTACGATCTCTGTGCGATTGCAACTTTACCGTAAGGAGGCCGCACTCACACGTGCGTCTTACGTACGGTACGTACGGGGCACGCGCGTCGCCCGTACTCGCACGCACGGGTGGTGAATCCGCAGACCGCACGTAGAAAAAGTTTTACATGCACTTAAAGTTCTACGGCGTGTCTGTGTGCTCAAAATCCGTAGGATTCCGTACGGAGGCGGTACTCACCACGCACGGATGCCCTACGTTTGCCCACGTTTTTGCACGTAGACAACACGCAGAAGCACGTACGGCGGGTTGTGACCGAGGCTTCAGCGAAAACCTATCTTTCTGTCTTTCATAATCAATATCAGGCCATGTTGATTTGATTGTATACAACCCTATACAGCACACACAGTGTAAAATCCCCTTTTCTCATAGCTGTCTCTCTGTACAATGTTTCGTTTTGGAGCAACGTTTTACTTGACAAGCTGCTACTGCTTCCCGTGGCGTCCATTTGGAGATCAGATACACCCTATATAAAACAAGAATGAGGCCACAGCAAGTCAATTTTATGGATGACATACTCCACAGACTCCAAATCTAATGCGAGCGGGCGAAAAAAAACAAGGCGGGCCGAAAAAAACAAGGTTCCTACATTTTAAAAATTTAACTCAATCATTGTACAAATGGTTTTGATTCAGTGGGAACATCACATATACACAGCCAGCATCACATATCACTGCATCAAAGTAAGAAACAAAACATTAAATCAGAGCCTTTTCTTGTCTCCTCTCTTTATACTAGTATTTATCTACCATCCACCTTCCGGCATGGCAACAGATAGCTTTGCCCATTTTCGGCATGGTGACCACTGTCAGAAGGCAACAAAATTTCTTGTGTTTTTTTTTTCAAAATCAGGCGAAAATTAATGCGCGCTGATGTCATCCATAAAAATTACTTGCTGTGGCCTTAGGCCATGTTGATTTGATTATATGGATGACATCCTCTGGGAACCCCAAAATTGATGCGAGTGTGTGAATAAAAAAAGTACTGCAAAAAAAAAGTTGCTTTCATTATGGAATCTACGTGGTCATGAAGGTTGAACAAATGACACAGAATAATCTACTCGTCAAATTCATTTCTTTACATTTTCGTCTTTTTCGTTTGATTTTAGCATTGCACGACACTGGTATCGTTTTCAAATATTTACGGCTGCTCATTTTGCAACTGTTTTGTACGATTTACAGTGTGGTTGAAAAGTTTTTATTTCTGGAAACGGCCGAAAATTCATGCGCGAGGGGATGTCATCCATATAATCAAATCAACATGGCCTGCATGACTTGTACCGCGAATCAATAACGAAATCTCCCATATATCTATCTCTTTGAACTTCCAAATACGATACTAAGGCCACAGCAAGTAAATTTTATGGATGACATCCTCCGCAGACTCCAAATCTAATGCGAGCGGGCGAAAAAAAAAACAAGGCGGGCCGAAAAAAACAAGGTTCCTACATTTTGAAATTTCGACTCAGTCATTGCACGAATGATTTTGATTCAGTGAGAAACATCACATATACACAGCCAGCATCACATATCACTGTATCAAAGTAAGAAACAAACATTAGATTAGAGCCTTTTCTTGTCTCCTCTCTTCATAGTTATCTGCCATACACCTTCCAGCATGGCAACAGACATCTTTGCCCATTTTTGGCATGTTAACCACTGTCAGAAGGCAACAAAATTTCTTGTGTTTTTTTTTCCAAAATCAGGCGAAAATTAATGCGCGCGCTCACCTAATGTCATCCATAAAAATTACTTGCTGTGGCCTAAAGCCTTCTTCTGACCGCCTGGTACAAAACGCAGAGGTGACCTGAGGTAGCCTGCCGGTTGGAGACGTCTTGTGTTGTTAGAGATACGGCTACACAGGCCGGAGGGACCAATTACCGTACAGCCCCACGTCTCAGCCTATCAGCCGCACGGGTCCGTGTGGGATTGGAGGCGGGAAGGTACTTGAACTTGAGAAGTGGTGATGGGCGGATCCAAGTGTGGCTGGCTTGAGGGGGGTGCTGACAAGCTGTGGGCTGTACACTAACTAAGGAAGTTTAACGAAGGAAAACATATTGTTTTTGCTCAGTTTCTTCTTCTTCTTCTCCAAACAGTAACGTCAATGGTCCTCAATCACCTGAATCAATGTTGCGTCTGTTACCATGGTAACTAGTGTTGGGTCACATCATGTTGCAATTTTAAAGCAGGAGGGATTTAAACTCCTCTCTGTCATATATATACAAATGTGTAAGCAGATCATATGCGAAGGTACACATTATGCATTTGTCTCGCAAATGTTACCTTTCTGTTTTTTTTTTTGTTTAGGCAAAATGGGTAGAATACAGGTATACAGCAAGTGTATGTAACCTTTTGATCGAGATTTATTGTTGCCATTTTCTAGCTAAAACACTAATTCTTGATATAACGTTAACACCGTATCACTGTGTTTTCTTTCATGTGTAAATACGGTGTTAACATGTACATGTACTTGTACGTCTATTTCTAAGACTATGTGTCACACACGATATATATTAACAATCAATACATGTAACTTTGACATATTTTATTACTTGGATTAAAATGGCTGAGTGAAGGCTTATATAAGCCTCAAGTCTAAGGGGCGACCCTCAAGATTAATAAATAAAATAAATAAATAAATGGCAAGGTCTAGGTCACTTCAATTTTTTATTTATTATTCCAACATGTAATCACCAGACGTGGTGACGGCACACTCAAGTTTTTCAACTTATATTAATGCCGCCACCAACACGGGACAAATACATTGCAGGACAATACTCATTTTCACCTGAGTTAAGTGAGGAAAGTCGTGTAAAGTGCCTTTCACAAGGCCCCAAAATGGTGGCATGTCAGGACTCGAACCCGGGACCTCTAGGTTCAGAGTCGCGCACTCTGCCGCTACCCCACACAATTTGTAAAGCACATGCCAGCGTCGTTCCTGAGATAGCATCAGCTCTTGTGATATCAATTAATATTTTTTTCAATTGATAGTCTTTTCCATTAAAACATTTCACATTCAATGGACCATGAATGTTGATAGCATCATTACCTTCGCCAAGCAGGTTATGTTTTCAGAGGTGTTCGTGTGTGTGTGTGTGTGTGTGTGTGTGCGCGTGCGTGCGTATGCATGTGTGTGTGTGTGGACACGGTAACTTGAGAAGGTTTAACTTTAAATGGATTGTCTTGATACTTGGTAGGTGGGTAGGTCTTGATGAGACCTGGAAATGATTAGATTTTGGACCCCCTAGCGGCTTGTTATGGCACTGCAGCTGAACTTCCGGTTTTGATATCTCATGATCTCATGCTAGGGGGACGAAATTTGGATGGTAGGTAGCTCTTGTGCTGGGGATGAAGTGACATGAGTTTGGGCCCCCTAGTTGCTTGCTCTGGAAGTGCAGGGCTATCTGTTTATAACTATTCAAAAGACGATAACTCAAGAACCGGTTGACGGATCGTCGTGATTTTTGGTATGTAGGTAGCTTATTGATGCTTGATAGAATGTGAAAATTATGCAAATATGGATGTAATTTGCATAATTTATGGGGAAATTCTAGAAATCAGCTACATTCCATGATATGACTATTGAAGCTTGTGAGATTGGTAATTGAGAACGAGAGAAACACAGACAGATATTGATTTTGTCATGTGAATGAAGACTTGATTTGCATGATTAATGACAAAATGTTATAATTCTGTAATCAGACAGATTTCCTCATTCAGAATATTTTTTTTCTCCTTTTGCTGCCCTGCAAATGCCTTGTAAGAAACTCCTCTACATATTACAAAAAAAACTAGAGTTCCCCGATCTCATACCTTCGCCAAATGATGTTAATCTTTATGACTGAAATTATAGATTAGATTATTCCCCCTGATTTAAGAAATAGGAACCTAATTTTCATGAATTATATCATTTTATCATAATCTCAACCAAAAGACAGCCTTAGATTAACAAACAATGCATTCTAGCATTTCGTAATAAATCATGCAAATGAGGTCCTGATTTGAATAAATTATGTTTAATGATGTTCACCTCAACTAAACTTTCAAATACCACAAGTATGAAATTCCAGGCAGTTATCATTACATAATTATAAAATTTTCTCATTAATTATGCAAATTAAGTTATTATTAACATAATCAATATCTTCCTGTGTTTCTCTCGTTGTCAATTACCGATGTCACAAGCTTCAATTGTCCTATCATGGAATGCAGCTGATTTATAGAATTTCCCCATAAATTATGCAAATTACATTCATATTTGCATAATTGTCATATAATTATATTAAACATCACGTAAGCTACCTACATACCAAAAATCACGACGATCCGTCAACCGGTTCTTGCGTTATCCCCTTTTGAATACTAGTATTTTCAAGAATATATCCCTGCAGTTCCAGAGCAAGCCGCTAGGGGGCCCAAACTCACATCACTTTTTCCCCAGCACAAGAGCTACCTACCACCCAAATTTCATCACCATAGTATATCTAGATCATGAGATATCAAAACCGGAAGTTCAGCTGCAGTACCATAACAAGCCGCTAGGGGGCCCAAAATCTAATCATTTTGAGGTCTCATCAAGACCTACCCACCTACCAAGTATCAAGACAATCCATCAAGGCCTTCTCAAGTTATCGTGTTGACAGACAGACAGACACACACACACATACACGAACGCCCCTGAAAACATAACCTTCTTGGCGAAGGTAAAAACGTCGTCACATATACGCGAACGGACTAACAGACGAAACGGCCTTCGGCGCGCTGCATGCTGGGATATTTTGTTCGCCATTCAAGATGGCGGCCAAAAATGCAGGAAATCTGGAAGGTTGCAACGTTTCTATGATCGTTCAGGTAAGTTTTGCAGATCAATCTACTCTTTGGACGACATAGACAGGTAGATTGAAGAAGTGTGCTACCTACGTGGTCGTTGAAATGTACCAGAAAACGACCAAACGTGAAAAATCCGACACCGAAGTTGCATGTCTAAAAGCAACATCATCTAGTCTTAGATCTTTAGGTCGGGAAAATATTATACAATCTGTTGTTTTTGATACAGTAGAGTGTTTATTACATGTTTTGGTATCACTGCTGACTTGTCTTACATGACTGTTATCTAGTTATGAAATTATGCTTATGAAATTTGCTAATCATAAGAACTGCACTAGTTGTTGTATAAACGATGCGTGATTACGTAGTTCGCTAAATTTGCGCTTGCTTATCGTGACTCTTACGGTTTTAAATAGAATTAAATCTTCCCAAACACATGTTGTTTTAATCTGTAGTATTCGTGCAAAGAGATCTAGAGCAGGTTTAGGTCAGGCCAGGTCAAGTCAGGTTAGGGACAGTTCACTAACTTATGGGAGGGGAGAGAGGTCGAATCCCCTCCTCCCCCCCACTGTCAAATTTTTATAATGGAAGCCAGATGACTTGCATATAGAATACAACACGGGGTATTCCGTATCGCCCGAGGTATCGGCCCGACCGCGGGTCGGGCGATCCGACTCGCGGGAGGGCCGGGACCGAGGGCGATGCGGAATACACCGTGTTGTATTTTATTCATATCATACCCACCCAAGAAAACACGCCTTTCAATGCAAGATGAGCCAAAAGTTGGTGCCACTGAACCCTAAACTGCAACAACATCAATTCCAACGTCCGGATTCTGTATTCGAATTTTCGAAAGGAAACGCGTTCGAATCGTTTTATGGAAGCCATGGAAGCGCTCGATAACGGGTTCCGGACCGGGTATGATTTATTATTTATCATTCTTCAGAAAAAATGTTGATAATAAATACCACATATTATGTTTTTTTTTTACTGCCTGGTTACCATGATCTATTTTTAGCGACATCTTTTGAGAAGACAGCTGCAGCTTGTTTTGTTTGTTGTTTTGTTGGTTATTGTTCTGTTCAGTTCTATTGCAGTCTTTATTGTTTATGGTAGATGCAGGGGACAGGTACCATTCATAACACCTGATTTTACTAAATTGCACACGGGCGAAAACTTGATTTGTACCACAACCACAACTTTCAGATTGTATACCAGACCTCTAGCCTAGGTAATGTATGAATATGATCTGATTGTGACATAATTGTCAAAGAACAGGCTGATTTAAATGCAAGAAAATTCTATGTATATGAACATCATATATGTTCAATGTGCAAAATTGCTCGTTCAGAATCAGAATACAGTATTTATGCATGCAAATCTTGAAAATCACATGCAAGTTGCCCGGCATGACACCCTGTCAAAGGTGATGTCACAAGTAAGGCCACACCAATTTGACTGGTTGTTGAACTTTAACAGAAAAAAAATGTACTGACAAAGAAAAAACTATTCTTAGGCCACACCAATTTAATTTTTTGGTTAAGGGATTCGCCGCTTCATTTTTTTCTGATTTGCAAATAAAAATAAAAATTCACAATCAACTGCAAAATGCTCATATTTTTCCCTGAACAGTTGAAAACAGTCCTTTTCTTACTAGGTACTTGTTACAGTCATTCCATCTTTCAATGCAGTGGTATCATTAAAAGTTCAAAATTCATTGCTTAAATTTTGAATCTGCCTGGTGTGTTGACTTCATATATATAGCTCCTATTGTACCATTTTGGGCCATAATAGGATGTCTAGGCCTGTTTTTATTTTTATTTTTTTTTCGCCCGCCCGGTCCATTATTTTCCTAGAAAAATCCGTTAACCAAGAAATTAAATTGGTGTGGCCTTAACTTCCCAAAACCCACAAATTTTGGAAAAGGTGGGACATTACGTCTTCCACGGTTTACAAGAGAGAAGTCAAACCCTTCAGACATAGTTTTAGACATAACTACTGTATTGTTTTATTCAACTATTTTCCATTATGTAGATATCAGTTCTTGTACAATCTGGTTCAATATTGTTGTATGTTTATGAGTTGCAATTAGCCTCCGGGCACAAATGTAGAAGTTTGAATATTCAGCTCATTTCGAGCATTGTTATAAAACAAACAATTTTAGATAAATTAATAATGACTTGGCCAGGGATCGAACTCACGACCTACCGAACTGGTGCACACTTTACCCACTTGGCCATTGTACTGACGTAACCTATATATATGTATACGTATAAGGTCGACACCACAACACACCAGCCACTCAGAGACTGTGTCCCACATGTAATGAGAATATTGAAGATGAATTTCACTTTGTTATGACTTGTCCCACCTATAGAAAAGAAAGAGATACATTCTTACAGACTATTACTACTAAGACAAAATTCACCCAATCTTTTACACAGTACGATACATTCCATAAATTATTATCATGTCCAACTACCATATCTGTTTACCTAGGCCAATTTCAGTTCACTTTATTCCATAAGCGAGAACATATCATCAATACATGACCATGTAGTAACTCAAATACTGTTTAGATAGTAGTTTGTAGTAAGTAAAGTTTTGTAGTTGTAGTTGTATTACTGCCATACATTGTACCTCGTACGATTGTTGAGCAATAAAAGTTCATTCATTCAAAATATAATGATTTGTATTATTTCTCCAAGCAGCAGTGGCAGAGTGCGTATGATCGAGGCCAGCTGAAGAACGCCCTGTACCAGTACTGGGCCCAGCAGGTGCCTAAGATATTCTTCACTTCGGCCGAGGTGGCCATCAGCACACAGAGGACCCCCGACGCTGTTCAGGCAGAGGAGAAACTCTCAAGGTCACGATTTCATAGTAATTCACCACTTCCCATAATCCTTTGCTGACCTCCGACCTTCAATCCTTTGTGGGGTCGTGTGGCGTAGCGGTAGCATGTTCGGCTCAGGACCAAGAGTGTATAGTGAACGAGCCCCGGGGTCACAGAAAGTAGGGCATCAGGGGCAGACAGGTCTTCCCAAGGGTTTCCAGGAATGTGGGCATACATGTAGATGTGTTTCAGCAAACAGCTGGGAGACATTCCTGTGGACATTCCCATGCCTGTGGACAAAATACCTGTACAATTCCTAGAATTCTTGCAAACTGTACACAATACTGTACCATTAGGCTCCTCCCTGAGACATTGCCAAAAAAAAAGATTTTGCCAGCGTGCAAAATACCTGGTTGCCCAAATTTTACTTGGGGCAACCTATTTTTGAACTTAGGTAGCCCAGTGTGCTACCTAAATTTTAAGAATGCCCCCCCCCAAAAAAAAAATCATGCCCACTTGGCTTGCACCACTGTATCCAGCAGATGCTTTTTAATTTTACGTACATGTACCTAATGGCTATTACTAGTATCAGTTAACTAAAGGCTGTTGGAAATATTGTCAAAGGCTAATATGTATGTAACTTACATGTAATTTGAGGTACCGGGTAAGTAGTAACTTATAGGTGGGGCAACCTAAAATTCTGATGGGCAACCTAATTTTTGCCATAGGTTGCCCACAGGGTTCAAAAAAGTATTTTGTACGCTGGAGCCCTGCTGAACTTGTTGTTCCGTCTGTCCTGTAGGGATGTGCTGTTTGAGCCCCTGGAGTGGTTCCTGTGTGGAGGAAACCCCTCCGCAGTGTTCCAGCAGCTTCAGGCCCTCAACAACCCTCCCCAGCTCTGTGGCAAGGTCTTCAAAGTGGGCGAGCCAACGTACTCATGCAGGTATGTATGGAACAGAAAGAGTTTTTAATCACTTTACGTTCGCAGTAGCAAAAGTCTGAGAAAAATGGACATGTTTATCTCACAATTTCAAAAGTTGCAGCCAGCATCTGCCTTTCGTCATTTGACAGAATTTTGCAGCTCATGACAGACAGAAATTTTGCCCAATGTGTCATCTTTGACAAACAAAAACGTAAAGATATAGAAAGAGATGTCATAAACGAAGCTTAGTCTTACTACCAGCAAACTTTTCCCCCCAAAATGCAGGAAATAGTGTTGCAGAGGGTCATTATTTCAAAATTTTGCTGGGAGAGTATGGCGCTAGACGCCCTAGTATTGTCTCACAATGATGTTATATAAAAAAAAATTGAGTTCAACATTGACAGTAAATAACTTCAGGCTGGCTAGAATACTGATTCCTTCCCTACCATTTCCTAAAAAAGATCTTCTCTTCTTTCCATCCTTGTACAGGGATTGCTGTGCAGACCCCACCTGTGTTTTCTGTATCGAGTGTTTTAACAAGAGCACCCACAAGTCCCACCGCTATCGGGTAAGTGAGGCAAACTTATCGCGCCAAAGATGTTCCCTTTTGCTAGTTCCTGTTTATTAAAATTACCACCAGTTTTGACACCAAAGACAGGGCTCTAAATACTAGTGCATGTGCACCTTAGTGCACCCAGATTTGGAGCTGTGCACCTAATGTTTTCTGTGGGTGCACCGGTGCACCCAAATATTTTCGTAGTTTTATATAATACTATGTAAAGATGTCAAATTTATATTAGTATATAGCAAGTTTTAAAAATAAACATCTGTCAGAAAAATAAAATCATTGTTATTAGTACTTTTCTTTAGAAATGAAACATAATAAACTAGAGTTCCACGATCTCATACCTTCGCCAAATGAAGTTAGCCTTTATGAATAAGAAATTATATATTAATCCCCCTGATTATGCAAATAGGATCCTCTGTTGATCCTCTGTTGATCCTCTGTTGATCCTCTGTTGATCATATTCTACACCAAAAGACAGTCTTATCTTAACAAAGAATGCCATCATAGCATTTCCTCATAAATTATGCAAATGTGGTCCTTATTTGAATAAGTTATGTTTAATTATGTTCACCTTCACTTAACTTTCAAACACCCCAAGTATGAAACTCCAGGCAGTTACCACCATGCAATTATAACATTTTCTCATTAATTATGCAAATTAAGTCTTCATTTGCATAATCGATATCTGCCTGTGTTTCTCTCGTTCTTAATAACATATGTTGCAAGCTTGGACTTCCAATAATGGAATGCAGCTGATTTAGAGAATTTCCTCATTAATCATGCAAATTACATTCATATTTGCATAATTGTAATGTCATTATGTCAAGCATCACTTAAGCTACCTACATACCAAAATTCACGATGATCCATCAATCGGTTCTTGAGTTATCCTCTTTTAAACATTTGTCCTTTAAACCCCCTGCAGTTCTAGAGCAAGCAACTAGGGGGCTCAAACTCATGTCACTTTATCCCCAGCACAAGAGCTATCTACCACCCAAATTTGGTTACCCTAGGTTGTCTGTATCATGAGATATCAAAACCGGAAGTTCTGCTGCAGTACCATGACAAGCCGCCAGGGGGCCCAAAATCTAATCATTTTGAGGTCTCATCAGGACCTACCCATCTACCAAATATCAAGTCAGTCCATTTAAGCCTTCTCAAGTTATCGTGTTTACAGACAGACACACACACACACACACACATACACGAACGCCTCTGAAAACATAACCTTCTTGGCGAAGGTAATTAGTTTTTGTTGACATTCTACTATCTCATCTTATATGGTGCACCCAAAAATTTTGCACCAGTGCACCTATTCCCAAAAATTAATTTCAAGCCATGAACTCTACATTTTTAGTTTTCGTAGGTGCAGAAAAAAGAAATTTGGTGAATTACTGTAAAGTTTGTGGCACAGAAGTGACTGCGAAAACCTGACAAATATAAAAGTACCACAAAAAAAAGGTGATTTACAGTATCATCTGAAGCCCTGGACTCAGAACCACCTCAGCGTAGCGCCTCCCATTCGCCAGAACTTTGTAGTGCCAGAACAGATTACACGTTTAGCTTCTGATCCGCTGCACTTAACTGGAACTCCCCGGTGTACAGATTTTCACTGATACCTTCAGCCTTGAGCTGGTAAGATCCAGGGATCAGCACTATTTGGTTCCCGCCGCTAAACGGCACACAAGAGGTGATATTGATGGGGAATTCACGTCCAATTAGATAACATTTGGGACAGGCTGGGAATATAAATCCACACAGATCAAAGCCTTACAGCGAGCATCATTGATGGCAGAAGTACACGTCTCTGAGGTGTCACTCAATCAGGGGAGTTGAATCACCAAAACTGCCATACTTGTCATTTCAATTTTCGTTGTTATCTGCAAAGTTTGGAAATAGAATTATACACTAGAGAAGTAACATTTGCAAAGCAAATGCATAATGTTTACCTTCGGACATGGTCTGCTCTGTTAATTCTTACTCAAACACATTAACATACATGTACTATTTGTGTATGGTGACAGGAGCAGAGCAGACCATGAAATTGCAACATTATGTAACCCAACACCAGACACCATGGTGACAGACGTCAACAAATCATGATTGTCATTGGTCAGGTCATAGGTCACTGTTTGGAGAAGAAGAAGAAGAGGAAGAAACTGAGCAAAAACAATATGTTTTCCTTCGGTAAACATAATAAGTACAGTTATGTTATTATTCTTTTGCTCTGGGTCTTTGACCTAAAAGGAATCAGGGCAAACATGCTATTACATGTTTTACAGATCCTGATATTGCCCATCTAGATGTAAGGTTGCTAAGATATGGGAGTTAGTCCGGAATTAAACCGGAAGTCTAGACATAAACTGGAGGCTGTTTTTTATATATTTCACCCAATATTTTTGTCCTGCGATTGACGGAAAAAGGTGCTGGCTAGAGCCCTGGAAAAGGGTCTGAGAAAAGTGGTCGTTATGGCTGGAGCATATGACCGGCTTATAGAGGCGGTCACTTGGGCAAGTTTGACTGTACCAGGGCTCAAAATTAAAGGTGGTCCAATGGCCACTGACCACTAAAATTTAGGCTGGGGCAACAAAAAAGACACTTTGGGACATTTTTGGGACAATCGAAAAATAGTCAACATCAAAATGCTCTTCTTTTGTCTATCAGGCACACGTCCCAGCTTTTGGATCCGGAAAAGTCCCCCGAATTTTCTGTCTACTTTGCAATTATTTATAGTGCACCTGGGAATGAACATACAAATGTAAGCAACATAAAGTTGACTTGAAGTTAAAGTCATACAATACTTTCCAAAAAACAGGTTGGGACAGTTCATTCTCACTTCGGGACAGTTGAAATTTATTTTTGGGATAGTGCTGGGACAATACAGGGCTCGAAATACTGGGTACATGTGCACCTTAGTGCACCCAAAATTAGAGCTGTTCACCCAATTTTTTTCTGTGGGTGCACCAGTGCACCTTGAATATTTTTATACGTTTACATGTATGTATGTAAAGATGTTAAATGTACAGTGCTATACAGCATATTCATAACACCCTAGTGTCAGAATAATGATTAAATTATTGTTATAGTACTATAGAAATGAAATATAATTAGTTGTTGCTGACATTCTACTTATTTTATCTTAATGGTTCACCCAAAAAAAATTTTGTGCACCCAGTTTATTTTGGTTGGGTGCACCAGTGCACCTTTTTCCCAAAAATGTATTTTCAAGCCCTGGACAATAGAAAGAAAAGTTAATTTTGAGGCCTGTGTACCTGTATGTCCTGCCTTCCCACACACAGATGAGTACATCCGGTGGAGGTGGGTACTGTGACTGTGGGGATGTGGAGGCCTGGAAACAGGACCCGTGGTGCGACATCCACAAACAGGGACTGGGACAGCAGAGCCAGGTACATGGACATCACAACATTAGGCCACAGTAGTGCTGTGTTCCTAAACCCACGTTTAGGTTCAGGTCCGGATTCAAGTCCAGAGGTTTAGGTTCAATCCGGACTTGTAAGTCCGGACCTAAACCCAGGGCAAAATTGCATGCTGGCAACCTTGCAATGTTGTTTGGGCAAAACTTTGGGCACATAACATGGAGGCTGATACTTGACGATGCCCGATGGCAATGTTTTCTTCATTTTGCAGCAAAAATTTGGCAATCTATACGGTTTTGCAATCTATAAGGTTTTAAGTGGTTTGCAACGAAAAGGGGTATGTGAAATGTTTTTTTTTTTGTGGTAATACATGTAAGTCTGGACACGGTTCTTGACTTTTAGTTTTTTTTGGACTTGAACCTAAACATTCTTACAAGTCCGGATCCAAGTCCAGCAAACCGGTACACAGCACTAGGCCACAGCAAGTAATTGTTATGGATGACATCAGCGTGCGCACTGATTTTGAAAAAAAAAGAAAAAAAAATTTTGTTGCCCTTTGACAGTGGACATCAACGCAAAAATGGGTAAATATGTCTGTTGCCATGCCAGATATATGTGAGAGGAGACAAGACAAGGCTCTGATTTAATGTTTTGTCTTTGAGTTTTACTTTGTTGCGGTGTTGTATTCTATTTCTTTATAATGTGATGTTGCCGCTGAATCAAAAAAAGAGCTTTCGACCAGTCACTCTGGTCTTCCTCAGTAGACTGACCCAGTAGAGCTTGTCACGTGGCTTCTTTGAAGTGTGACATCAACTTAACCATATTCTACCCTGACACATACCTGTTTTACAGAACCCAGTAGAGAAGCTTCCCAAAGATGTGGCTGCCCGTGCCTGGGAGGTGTTGAAGATAGCCCTGGGGTACGCTGTAGACATGCTGCTGTGGGAACAGATGGACGGACTACCACAGGAACTGGAGCCCAGGTCTGTACACTACCAATAATGTCTTTGCCTCCGGGGGAGGAGATATCCTTCCGCGGAAGGGCTTTGTGAGAGATTTAGATTTTCACGTTCGCAGCCGTTTCTCGCGTTTGGGTGGACGAATTCTTTTGGGACTAGGTATATGTTTTGCTATTGGGCTGTAGATGATGCACGTTCTTTTGTTTTTATTGTATATGTGTTTTCGGGCGGGAAAATGGTGCCTTTTGGTGGCCCCAGAACACCCCTTTGAGCGTGAAAGTGGTCGCGACTGTTGACCTTTGGTGTGTTTGAAGTATTCTCGGTCGGGTCCACTTGTATGACCTTTCGCACAGAGGGGTGTCCTAACAGATACAATTTAACACCATCAACTATTCATAACAAACAACATATAAGAATATACAATAAAAGCCCGGAGGTATAAAATATCAGATTTTACTTGGTTTCTTATTTTTCTTATTTCCTTATTGATTCCTCCTTGAGAAATTGGAGACAATTCTAGAAACTTCAAGAAACATTCTGCAATGTTTTTGTATTTTGATACACAAAGATTACACAAAGAATTTTATTCTTCTTTTATCATGCTCACCAACAAGAATCGTAAGAATTTTAGGAAATTTTATTGTTGATTCTTGTTTTTCTTGATACTGTTTAAGAACATACAAGAATTATTTTCTCAACTTACTTGTTTTTCCTCATCAAGAAAGTATACTCAGTGTCACGGAAATGAAAACTCAAAGAAATCTACTGTAACAATGGGTGTTGCTGGAAGACAGATGAAAAATGTCCAGACTATGCATGTTGTACAAAATGACTAATAAACTGGTGGATGAACCAACCACTAAGTATCTGATACCAGCCCAGAAAAGAACACGAAACAGTCATGCCTTCAAGTACCAGAGTTATCAACCAAGAATTGAGGTGTTCAAAAAATCGTATTTTCCAAAAACTTGTAGAGTTGAACTCGTTGCCACTAAGCACAGTTGGGGCATCATTACTAGAAAGCTTTATTTTATTTTATTATTTTTTTTAAACAAATACTCCTGCAGTTGGATGTGCAAAGATTAGGTGTAACAGGTCGTTCAGTGTAATATAGCCAGCTGTCGCCGCGCCGCGTGCCTGCAAAGCTGGTGTGTTACACTGAAGGGCAGTTATACTGGCTATACTGATACATGTACATTTACAGACAGATACAACGTAATGCAGTACTTTTTTCTGCATACCTGCACTGGTGTCAAACTATTTACACATCTACATCTACAACTACACTCACTAGTGTCTCTTCTATGAGTACACTCGCCACGTACGTATCTTGGGATCCCATTTTCGGTATTTTCTTGCGAACCGTTGGAGCCTATTTCCTTACGATCTGTCCTGTATTATGGGTCTTGTCTCTAGATCTATAGACAGGATATTCCCAATAACATTGTCCGTAGATAGGTACGTTAAACTGTACTAAATCATTCGATGGAATTTTAAAACTCATGACTGGCAAAAGTTTTGACCAACTTGTCATTTTTGACACTGACAAACATTGGCGAGTAAAGATTCATTTATGGAAAGAGAGGTCATTTAGCTAAGCTTAGTCAATTAGAAGATTTAACGTCTAAAAGAGTACAGAAAATACAGGGCTCGAAATTCATTTTTGGGAATAGGTGCACTGGTGTGCCCAACCTAAAATATTAGGTGCACAAAAAATTTTTTGGGTGCACCATATAAAACAAAAACTAATTACAGATCTTACTGCTCCTTTTTTGAGCTTGAATCTGAATTGGGAGCTAACTTACAACAAAGGTTTTATTATTTTTCTGACACTTGTATGCCAAAAATATCCTGCATACTATTATACAAATTGTACAAAATGTGCTATTATACAAAATGTACAAAAATACCTACAAAAATATTTGGGTGCACTGGTGTACCCACAGAAAAAAAATTGGGTGCACAGCTCCAATTTTGGGTGCACTAAGGTGCACATGTACCCAGTATTTCAAGCCCTGAAACAGCATTTCAGAGGGTCAAGAGTTTTCCCAGGAGAGTATGGCCCAAGACACCTGTATGATTGTTGCACCTTCCTTGCTCAACTTGATGCTATGTCAAACAAAATTGCAATTATGACAGAAAAAAAAATCAGGCTGGCTAGAACACTGTCCTGTCCCGTAAAAGGGGTCTCGCCTTAATAGACAGGATATTCCCAATAACGTTGTCTGTAGATCTGTCAATACAGGGTAAGTACGTTAAGAGATAGTTGTCCCACCAATGCAGCAGTATCTCCCAAAGTACGTCGATGAAGGTTAGACATCCAGGTAATACGATACGCCAAAAAAAGCAGTTACTCAGGCAACTGGATATGATTTTGGAAACGGTCAGACGTTTCAGCTAGTGTCCACTAGCTTTCGTCAGTGACTGAGAGACCAGAGGAGAAATGCAGGTTTATAAGCAAAAATTATTTCAATTGATACGTTGCTAGCAGAAAAGTTTGACCGTTTCCAAAATCATATCCAGTTGCTTGAGCAGTGTGCAAAATACCTGGTTGCCCAGTTGCCCCGGGCAACCAAATTGTACTTGGGGCACCCTATTTTTGAGCCTAGGTAGCCCAGTGTGCTACCTGAATTTTAAGAATTTCCCACTTGGCTTGCACCACTGTATCCGGCAGATGCTTTTTAATTTTAGGTATTAATGGCTATTACTAGTATCAGTTAACTAAAGGCTGTTGGAAATATTGTCAAAGGCTTAATATGTATGTACCATAACATAACTTAATTTGAGGAAAGTACTAGTAACTTATACATATGTAGGTGGGGCAACCTAAAATTCTGACAGGCAACCTTATTTTTGCCCTAAGTTGCCCACTGGGAAACCTGGTTCAAAAAAGGATTTTGTACTACTGTTGAGTAACTGCTTTTTTGGAGTATCTACCAAAGTTTCTCACCCCATCACACACACACACACACATACATACAGGACAAGGCTTGGCCAGGCGGCAACCTTATCATTAATTAAGTATGGATAAAATTACTACCACGGCTTTCCATACGTCGGCTCCATTATTCCCTTTAAAGATTGACCCGTTCATTAGCACAGCTCTGTGTGATGTGTCGGCGGTCCTACATTAGGCCACACCAATTTAATTTGTTCCTTCTCGAATCGCCCTGTCCATTTTTTTCTGATTTGCAAAAAAAAAAAAATTTTTTTTTTACGGTTCTAAATTAACTGCAAAATGCTCAATGAAAGACATATTTTGGCTCCAGAAGTTGAAGAAAGTCCTTTTCTTCCTAGTTCTTAAAGTTTTTCAATGTAACAATGCAATTTTTTTTCATTAAAATTTTAAAATTTTAATTATAAACCAGCCTGATATGTTGACGTCATGGCTCATATTGTAACATTTCCGGCTATCATGGGGTGCCTGTTTTTTTTTAAATATTTTTATTTCGCCCTGTCGCTTCATATTTTTTCTGAAAAAATCCGAGAAACAACAAATTAAATTGGTTTGGCCTTAGTGTGTGTTGGCACAATGTCCTGGAGTAACCCTCGGCCGTATTAAATCTCTCTGGGCACTCTGGGAGGTGTGCGTAGGAGGGACAATTGTGGGAAGATATATCTGTTGCTGTGAGGTCAGGGATGTGGTACTGTATTAAGGACTTCTGTGTCAGGGACATACATGTACGTGTACCACACTGGACGGTACTTGTCAGCGACTTTATGAGAAATGGCCTGTATGAAGCTTAAAGTTCTGTCACACATTATAAGGGACACTACAGGTGGTTCTATGCATTGAAGGCTTAGCCTACTATTATCCAAAAACAGGCAAGGCAATTCCATCAAATCTCACCTTTCAGGATTTCTAGTCACAAAAACTCCCCTTTGCAAGTTAGACCATCTATTAGTATCAAACTTTCACACATTATACATTTCTTAACATCTAAAAACCCACAAATTACAAAACAGTGGGATCCTTTGTCTTTCTCTGTCTTAAAAAAAAAGTCAAACTCAGTAGTTTTTACCAGTAGTTTCTTAATAGTTATACATGTAAGTAGTTCTATGTGTACTAATTGTCTGTTTTTTTTTAATTATTTTTTATACCATATGTTTCTTCTGTTCCTGCAATTAGCAATTTGCAATAAACAATTATTAATATGTACTTACAGGCCATTCCGGGAAATTCTATAAGATGATCCAGTAGATACATGTATTGTCGGTTTGTTAAACATGGGTCAACTCTGACCCTCTGTTCCACAATTCCAGCCGAATGTTTCAAAAATGTTTATAGCGTTCGGGTGTGGACGGGAGGTTCGGCCATGGTTGCCTGGTGTTGGAGAGGAGGTCAGCAGGGTTTGGGGGGTGGGGTCAAATTTGACTCAAATTTAACTCAAATTTGATACCATTCATACAGAAGCATAAATGTAAGACAAACCTAAATCTGGTCTGACTGTTGAAACTAGGTCAAAGGTTCCAGAATAGTCCTGGAAAAGGTTATCTCTTTTCCTGTTTGACACCCATAGAGGTACATGTACATATATGACATATATTTTGTGGAGTAACAGATTTCAAAATCTCTCAGGTGTCTTTTCTCTTGCATTCAAACTTAAAGGCACCTGAAGCAATTTCATGGGAGTAAAACTGGATTTTTAAAGTTAATTTACCTGTCATTTTTTAATGCAGTAAGTTGAACAAACCCTATCTCATATACTGATGTCTGTGAGCCCAAAATCCAATGTCGCTGAATGGAAAAAATTCTTATTCGTATCGTATGCTTGGATTGTTGTTGGGTTTCAAGACGAGTAAAACAAGAATTCATAGACCAGAGATCTCATACCTCCATGAAATATATAACTTTTTGTAAAATAAAATGTTTTTTATTTGTCTCATTGACTATGGAAATAAGGTCGTAATTAGCATAATCTAGTTTAATTTATGGTTTTCTAAAATTCAAATTACAATATTTTTCGTGTAAAATTCCCTATCCTTTGTCATACTTCATTTCAACATGTCCACATTAATTATGC